CTGTAACCCAGCTACTCAGGAGGTTGAGGCAGAAGAATCGCTTGGACTCAGGAGATCGAGGTTGCAGTAAGCCAAGATGGCACAACTGCACTCCAGCCTGGGTGACAGAGGGAGACTTCATCTCAAAAAAAAAAAAAAAAAAAAAAAAAAAAAAAAAAACCACCTAGGAAATGCAATGCAAACTTATCTACAGTGATAGATCATAGATCAGAGGTTTCCTGAAAGAGTGGCTGGAGGGATGACAAAAGAGCAAGAGAAAACTTTTAGGGGTGATTCATAGGTTCATTATCTTGATATGGTGATGGTTTCACTGGCATAAAAACATATCAAGTTGTATACTTTAACATGTGCAGTTAACTGTATGACAATTTTACCTCAATAAAGCTGTTTAAAAAATACTTAAAGAAAAAAAAAGCCTGGCCTGGTATATTGTTTACATCACCCTCTTTTCCAAACAGGTTCATATTCCTGAAAAGTAACAACTGTAATATCTTTCCTCTGGAGATTTGCATGCATGAACAAAACCTTAAAACTCAGAAATTTAATTATAATAAAATTTAACAACAGTTAATATTTGCATGGCTATAACTATGTGCCAGGCACTATTAGGCACTATTACAAGCATTTTTCTTGTATTAATTCATCTAATGCTCACATTAACCCTATTTTACAGATGAGGAAACTGAGGCACTAAACGGATAAGTAATCTGATCAAAGTCACACAGCTGATAAGCAGAGGAGGTAGAATTTGAACCCAGGGAGTCTAGCTTCAGAGTTAGTTTCCTAACCCATTACCCTCTACTACCACACACAATCTAAGGCAGGCGTCCCCAAACTGCGGCCCCCTGAGGCCATTTATCCGGCCCCCCGCCACACTTCAGGAAGGGGCACCTCTTTCATTGGTAGTCAGTGAGAGGAGCACAGTATGTGGCGGCCCTCCAACAGTCTGAGGGACAGTGAACTGGCCCCCTGTGTAAAAAGTTTGGGGATGCCTGATCTAAGGTATGTGAATACCAGAAGCAATGAATACTGCACTTGTAAAATACTTTTCTTTCTCACACTCACACAATATAAATATTCACTACAATTGGCAACATCACATGAAACAAAATAAAAAACAACAGTAGCCTTCTTTTCCCAATTAATAGACGAAGGAAGGAGAGGCAGAAACAACTTTCTTAGGACACAGAGCAAATAATGGCAAGTTGACCAGTTCCTGGAAAGCTGGTTCCTCACATTCTTAATCCAATTGTTTTCATGGTTTTCAAAATCCTGATTATTTTAAGTAACACCAAAAGGGAGAGAAAATCTAACATAGAAACATAAAAAGTAAAAGTTCTTTCTCTTTTCTCATACTCCTTACTGGCTCCTTAATTTCAGCCAGAGGATCTCAATCTCCGCAGATACAGGTCTGGAGTCTGTTTTTAAAGCTCCCCAGGTGATTGTTATGTGCAGCCAAGGTTTAGAATTCTTGATTTAGACTTCTCATTAAAGAAAGACAGAAGGCGGCTGGGTGCGGTCGCTCATTCCTCTTATCCAGCACTTTGACAGGTGGTGGCAGAAGGATGCTTGAGCCCAGGAGCTGGAGATTACAGTGAGCTATAATCCTGCCACTCCACTTCAGCCTGGGCAACAGGGTTATACCTTGTCTCAAAAAATTTAAAAAAAAAAAAAATGAAATAAAATAAAATGGGAAGACAGAAGAAAGCAAGGTGCCACAAAACACTGGTAAATCATGGCCAAAGGTTTTCCAAGTCAGTATTGAACTGCTGCCCACATGCAAACTTTTGACTTTAACTTTTAATATATCAGAAATACAAATATGCATTCAAGACAAGAGAAAGCAAGAAACACAATAAACAACTTTAAAAAAAAAATGCAAACCAGTGGTGAATTGGATGTTAAGACATAAAGAAAAAGCCCTACATTTTTATGTTATGTCGTAACAAAAGTTATATAAAAATATATTGGGATGACAAAATCTCTTTTCAACTTTTTGGAATGCTAAATTGACATCTTATCAAGTCAATGAACTAAAAGCACAGAAAAACCTGTCAAATATCCACTGCATTTAGAACATGGAAATAATTGATAATACGCTGTGAATCTAGTTAAGAAGCACGGGTTGAAGAAAGAACGGGCCAGGCCAGGGTCGGTGGTTCACACCTGTAATCCCAGCACTTTGGGAAACCATGGTGGGTGGATCACCTGAGGTCAGTGGTTCGAGACCAGCCTGGCCAACATGGCAAAACCTTGTCTCTACTAAAACTACAAAAATTAATTGGGCATGGTGGTGCACACCTGTAATCCCAGCTACTGGAGATGCTGAGGCAGGAGAATAGTTTGAGCCTAGGAGGCGGAGGTTGCAGTGAGCCGAGATGGAGCCATTGCACTCCAGCCTGGACAACAGAGCGAGACTCCGTCTCAAGAAAAAGAAAGAAAGAAAAGAAAAGAAAGAAAGAAAGAAAAGAAAAAGAAAAGAAAGAAAGGAAAGGGAAAGAAGAGGAAAGAAAAGGAAAGAAAAAGGAAAGAAAAAGAAAGAAAGGAAGAAAGAAAAGAACTGTATCTTTAGCCCATGACCTGAATCAATGCTCCCTGAACTTTAAGATGCACTTCTTGAGGAAGATTCTGATTCCGCATGATTCAGCAGCTCTGGGGTGAGGCATGAAGGGCAATTCTTTTTTTTTTTTTTTTTTTTTTTGAGACGGACTTCGGCTCTTGTTGCCCAGGCTGGAGTGCAATGGCGCGATCTCGGCTCACCGCAACCTCCGCCTCCCAGGTTCAAGCAATTCTCCTGCCTCAGGCTCCCGAGTAGCTGGGATTACAGTAATGCGCTACCACTCTAGGCTAATTTTGTGTTTTTAGTAGAGGCGGTGTTTCTTCTCGTTGGTCAGGCTGTTCTCAAACTCCCGACCTCAGGTGATCGGCCTGCTTCTGCTTCCCAAAGTACTGGGATTACAGGTGTGAGCCACCGCACCTGGCCAAGAAGTGCAATTCTAACAAGCTCCTAGGAAAGTGCTGATGCTGCTGGTAGGTGGACCAAACTTTGAGCAACAAAGCCCTATATAACCGGAACATTGCGTGTAACATTAGCCAACTGGCTTACAAATATCATTATGTCTAGGATCCAAGAAATAAGTGTCAATACAATTAATTCCTACTCCAGGCCAAAAAAAAAATATTAAAAATAAAAGTGAAAAACAGGGTTGGGGGGAAGGAGAAAGCAAATACTTGTTTATACAGTCTAGCAGTGCTAAGAACCATAAAATACTGTAATTTCTCTCAACCTAGTAGAGGTCAAGGTGATAAAACATAGGCTCCATGAGTTAATGGAGTTTTTAGTTATCTGCTGAATCCCTATGGCCTAGCATAAATTAGGTACTCAATAAATGCACTTAATAAATGAAGAATGGTAAGTATATACAAACGCAATCTGTATTTACGTCACATCCCCAAAAATGTCTGGGGAGGGGGCAGTATTTGTACTTCTAGATGCAGGTAGCCATGATTTGATACAAAAACCAGGCCCATCTACTGAATTCCCTCTGTCCCAAGTTAACTTTCCTGAAAGTTAACTCAAAGCCCATGGTCACGGCACCCTGATGTTTAGCAACTTTTTGGCTTTTTGAAAACAAGGAAGAAAGGTGGAAGTACAGGGAGAAGGATTCGTTAAAGTCTCAAAAATTCAAAGCAAAAAACCAGGAGGGAGGAGATGGACAAACAGTTCAGTTCACATGAAGGAACACATGAGGTTGTCAGAGGTCCATGTGCTTACCTATGCTGGTGGCGGGGTTTGGGTTCGGGCTTTTATATGTTTTGCTACTGTCCAGGGTCACTGGTGGAGTAGCACCTGGCTGTGGAAACTCGGATTACACAGGTAGCCAGCACTGCAGCCAACCTTTTGAAGCTTAGAGAAATCACGTTCGCGCCTACTTCCTCTTTCCCAGGGTCTCCGCGCGCGTTTGGGAACTCAGCCGCCGCCCAAACACAAGATGATCTAGGCAGCTTCACTGTCGGATTGAGGCCACAGCCAGGATTTAAGATGGCGACGAAACCCTCTAGTAGCCCGCGGAATCCGCCCAAAAGAAAAATGGCCTCTGTTTAGAATCTCGCAGCTTTCAAAGAGGGCCCAAAACAAAAATGGCGGCAGACGCAGGCTGGGAACCCAATGACTAAGATTGGCAGGTAACGAATCACGGTAACCCACAGTGCTAGACTGTCGAACTGATCGAGAGAAAAAAACGCTTTTCTGTGGTATGTTTTCTTAACACCGGAAACTGACTAGCTTAAGAATGGAACGTATATTCGGTGCGGATTACGGGAAAGAAAAGGTAGCTTTCAAAGTACCAGATAAACTTCAATGGAAATAGTCATATTTAAACATAACTTCCTCTATGTTTTTTTAATGTTAAAAGAGAATAAAAGGTTTGTCCTGGAACCCAAAAGCAGGATGGGGAAATAACGGATGAATTATCTAATCTGTGAAGAGCACCCAGCTGAAGAAGGTCTGCACTTCTGCAAGCCCTCATATGCTTTAGAAGGCAACTAGCTCTCACTGCGCATGTCCGCTCCCCAAACCCGATCCCGGGAGTTACTGGAGGATGATTCCGTTTCTCCTGATTTTCGAGATAACCGCACAGAGAGGCGGGATACTGGCGCCGAGCGACAAATCCAGGCGCTTTGTGATTGGTCATGTCTGGGAGGCCAGAGAGCAGAGCGCAGTGGACTTCTTTCATTAATTCAACAAATCATTGTTAAGCGCTCACCAAAAGGCAGAAGCTGTGCCATTTTTATGTGTTATTTAAATTTTATGCGTTCTTTTAAAATTTGTTTCAACAACTTGCTGGAATATACGCTGAATAAACTTCGCTCCCCGTTTTTTCCGGTGACGGCCACCGGTACAATTGACTGGAGCTTCATGGAAAATCCGGAGGAGCGGGATGGGAGCAGCCCGGCGCCGACCGCAGAGCTGCGCGTGCTCTGTTCCGCAGAGCTGCGCGTGCTCTGTTCCGCAGAGCTGCGCGTGCTCTGTTCCCCAGCGCAACGCGAAGGTTGTCGGGATCCGCGGCAGCGGCGGCTAGAGGTTGGTCACTAGTCCCTGCGGGCGGCGGCGGCCTGGGGCGGCGTGGCGTTTGGTGGGCAGGTGAGAGCGCTGGAACTTCAGGTGGAAAAGACCACTTTCTGTCCGGCCGAAGAGAGGAGAAAGGGCTTGTAGGCGCCTCTCTCCACCCCCAAAGGTCGCCGTGGTCCTCACTGAAGGATATTTGGGGGCGGGAACAAGGAGGAGTCTGGCTTTTCGTAGGAGGCTGAAAAAAATAGCTGCAGATGGTAAAGGCTTGCGGGCGGCGAGGAGGTCTTCCCGCCGGTGGGAAAAGCTGGAGGAGTGGCGCCTCCCCGCGCTCCCACTTGCGCGGCGCCGGACCTGGGACTCCCTCGTCACCTCCCTCGCTGGGAGGGGCCCCGTGTGCCTCTCCCGTGTCTGCAGGGTGCACGGTGTACCCCAGGCTGTCAGGAGGTGGGGGCCGCCTTCCGACGGCGTCAAAGCCCTTGTGCAGCATGGTCCTGCCAGCTGCGTGAAAGCGGCCGTGGACCTTGCAGGGATGACTTTGAGGTCATGCTCATCTTCCTCCCAGATGAGACCTTACCCAAATCTCAATATGACGATTTCATTCATTTGTTCACATCGTCAGTTTATCCATGAACAGATAATACACGTGTCTCAGCACTGCCGAGTTAGTAGATACAGCAGTGACCAAGATGGACATGCACGGCCCTGACCCTGACTCCATGTTCTAGTGATGGGGGAGGAACAGTACTCTCCCTCTCCGTGAGTTCCGCACCTGTGGATTCAACCAAGTGCGTAAAGAAAACATTCTGGGGCGGCAGGGCTCGGTGGTTCACAACTGTAATCCCAAAACTTTCGGAGGCCGAGGTGGGCGGATCACTTGAGTCAGGAGTTTGAGGTCTGCCGGGCCAACATGGCGAAACCCCGTCTTAATAAAAGTACAAAAAAAAAAAAAAAGTGAGCCGGGCGCAGTGATGGGCTATTGTAGTCCCAGCTACTTGGGAGTCTGAGGCAGGAGAATAGCTTGAGCCCTGGAGGCGGAGGTTGCAGTGAGCCAAGATCATGCCAGTGTACTCCATGCTGGGCGACAGAGGCTCTACTTAAAAAGAAAAGAAGAAAAAATATTCTGGGCGAGAAAAAGATGGTTGCATCTGTACTGAACATGTGCAGATCTTTTTTCTTGTCATTCCCTAAATACTGAAGTATAACAATTATTTATGTAGCGTTTAACGTTATATAAGATATTATAAGCAGTCTAGAGATGATTTAAGGTACATAGGAGGATGTGGTAAATTGTGTGCAAATACTACACGATTTTTTTTTTTTTTTTTTCCGGAGATGAAGAGGCTCGCTCTGTTACCCAGGCTGGGGTGCAGTGGCGCCATCTCTGCTCACTGCAACCTTCACCTCCCTGGTTCAAGCAATTCTCCCTGCCTCAGCCTCCCAAGTAGTTTGGAATTACAGGTGCCTGCCACCAAACCCGGCTAATTTTTTTATTTTTTAGTAGAGATGGCGTTTTTGCCATGTTGGCCAGGCCGGTCTTGAATTCCTGACCTCAGGTGATCCACCCACCTCAGCCTCCCAAAGTGCTGGAATTACAGGTGTGAGCCATGGTGTCCAGCCTACTGCATGATTTTTTAATCAGGGACCTGAGCATCTGGATTTAGGTCTCCATGATGGGTCCTGGATGGAATCCCCCAGGGTACTGAGGGGTGATTATACACTGATAATGAAGAAGATGTTTCTAGATTGTCCTAGGTTGGGTTTCCTGAGAATCAGACTCTGAGGAGATTTGGAGGCAGGACTTTAGTATTAAAGACTTTTTGGATGATTACCAGGAAAGAAAGGAAGCAGAATTGGGCAGACAGAAAACGTTAAACCTCATCCAAGTCCCAAGGATGTTCTCCACCAATCCCACAGGAACTCTAGCGCTGGGTTGACCCTTCAGAGTTGAAGGGAAGGGCCAGGTCTTTATACCCCTGCATTGATCTGTCATTGGATGCTGTTGCCTTGGAAAGGGCCTAACTTCAACTCTCTTCAGCCAAATCAATCATGGATGGAGGCTGGCAGCTGAGGTCTGTCTCAGCACTTCCAGGCACTGGGGAAATAAGCCTTTCATTCCTTGGGGGGTCAGGGTGGCACATCACAGCGTTTACCACAAAGGTAAGGCTTTGAAGGAAACACATGCTAGAGAATAATGGGGAGGAAGAGGGGAAAAAAACTTTAGACTGAATACTCAGAGAAAGGCTCTCTGAGGAGGTGACATCTGAGCTAAGAGCTGAAGCACAAGAATAAGCCACCCTGTGTGGAACAAAGGGAACAAGATTCTCTACTTTTCTACTGTGCACTAGGAATACAGCAAAAAAGACAAGTGGCTGCTACCTTCTGTTATAGTGGGTGGCAGTGACTAGCTTTTCTAGATCTTGACTCCCTGCTGTAACTAAAGATGGAGTAAGTAAAAATGGATTGAGTCTAATTCAGAGGAGGATAGAGGAAAAAATCAGAACTATGATTTTGAAAAATGAGTAAACTTGGGAAAAACTTAATCTATACAGTTTTTTTGTGGGAGTTTTCTTTTGTTTGGTTTGGTTTTTTGATCCTGTACAACATTGAATTGTGTTTTAATAAGATTGTCCTCTTATCTTCTCAAACCTGCATTCTCCTTCATGCCTTACTCTTCTTGGTAGGTCCCCCCTGAGCCTAATAGTCTTGCTAGCACCTAATAGACACCACGTGAGCATTTGGATAGAATTAATCTCATACATATTTGAAGTAAAAATTGCTAATCCCTGAATGATGTGAACATGGGATACATAGCTGTGTTTGGATTTGTCTTTACAATATTTCCTCTTTTTATAAGTTAGAACTCAATTTTAGTCAAAATATTCTATGGTAATATATAATTGCTTTGATCAAGCAGGAACCTCCAGAGGTGCCTATTTTTATATACGCTTTGTAAGATAATATAATTCCCAATAAAAGTAATAGCTGCCAAGTATTAAGCACTTCTCACATGCTAGACACTGTACTAAGCTATGAATGTATATAGTTATCTTCTTAATATGGCCCCCTATTTCAGATCATGATATTGAGCTCTTAAGGCAGGAGAGAAGTAATTTGTCCAAGACCATACTAATTTGTGATGGAGGTTAGAATATTACTCTCTCTTTTTTTTTTTTTTTGAGATAGAGTTTTGCTGTTGTTGCCCAGTCTGGAGTGCGATGGTGCTATCTCGGCTCACCGCAACCTCCGCCTCCCCCCACCTGCGCCTCCCGGGTTCAAGGGATTCTCCTGCCTTAGCCTCCTGAGTAGCTGGGAGTACAGGCATGTGCCACCATGCCATGATAATTTTGTATTTTTAATAGAGACGGGGTTTCCCCATGTTGGTCAGGCTGGTCTCAAACTCCTGACCTCAGGTGATTCACCCACCTCAGCCTCCCAAAGTGCTGGGATTACAGGTGTGAGCCACCACACCCGGCCTAGAATTTGATTCTCACCATGACTCAGTGCTTTTGCTCTTAAGCAACCAACAGCATTTCTGAAAATGTAGACCACGTTTCAGTCATAGTAGGTTTCTCACATTTAATCACTTGGCTGCTCTGTTAACTGTTATTAGAAAAACAAACATGAAATTATTCCCGTCTTTGCTGCTTTGCTCTGTGTCTTTTAAGTTTTCTGACTTTCTTCACCGCTTTCCTGGCTCTCACTTTAGAAGCTTGACTGTTATCTGTACTATAATATCCTAGAATCTGATTACCAGATTCTGTCTACACTAGTCAAACCCCAGAGACCTGAGAACCTCTCTCTGGAGACTGGGTATTTTTATTCATAGCTAACTTACTGAAACTGCCCAGAGAAGCGAGCCCTCCTTTATGGGGACCACTTCACTTAGTTGGGGCATTAATTCTAGTCCTCTCCTGTTCTTGCTATACTACAGGTTAATTCCAGTAATGCCTTTTTTTCTTTTCGACATGATCAAAATAATAATAGCTAACGATTACTGAGCCCAGACTAAGTGCCAAGTATTGTGATAACTGCACAGCAGGCTTGTCACATGGACGTTATTATTCACATTGTACACATGATGGAACTGAAGCATAGTGAGGTTAAGTGACTTATCCAAGGCTACACAGCCAGCTATAAAGTGGTAAGTGAAGATTCAAAGCCAGGTAGTATGATTCTACAGCTCATCCCTTAATAACTACATGACTGCATTCTTACAAAAATGATTTAAAGTGCTTGACTTTCTGAAACGTAGGCAGCATCTAGAGCCTAGTAGATTTTTTTTTCTGCTGTACCAAGAAATTTAGATTTCACTCGAGTCAAAAATGTCACTAAAGACTTCTAAGCAAAGCAGGAATACAATCAGATTGGGGGTTTTTTGCAAGATGGCTTTATCAGACTTGTAGAGAATGGATTAGTGGAGGTAGATTGGAACAGTGGGTCTCAAACTTTAGCTTCAGAATTACCTAAAGAATTAATTAAAACAGATTACTGGACCCCACCCTAGAGTTTCTGATTCAGTAGGTCAGGGGCAGCTTGATAATTTGCCTTTCTAATAAATTCCCAGGTGATGCTAATGGCTCTGTTGAGGGGACCACACTTTGAGAACCACTGAACTCAAAGCAAGGAGGTCATGTGAGAGGGTACAAGGGTCTGGACTGTGACCCTGGGGAGGAGAGGTTATGTAAAGAAGCACTCCCATCAAATGGGAGTGGTGACTGAGTTGATGAGGAGCATAAGGAAAAAGGGCAGAGTCCGCTATATATCCAGATTTCTGAATTGAATGGCTTAACAATGCTTTTTGTTAATGAAAACAGGAAATGCAGGTGGAACAGCAGTTTAGGAGGGAGAGGACTTGATTTTATATGAGATGAATTGAGACTCTTTGTGGGGACGGTTAGTTCAAAGATGAACAGTAGCAGTTTATTATGTGGGTCTAAGCTGGAGATGAACATGTGAGAGCCAGAGTGGATGCATGATCATAGAAGTTTGGGGATTGAATGAGACTAGCCAGGAAACAAACACTACCAAAGACAGAGCTCTGATAAGGATGAATCTGGATGGAAACCAGCAGG